AAAATGTCTTTAACTGCTAATACCATTAAGCCACAAGTTTATGCTACGCTGCTTCGATCAAACGAGAGCAAGTCCTCGACTACCTCCATAATTCTAGAATCTTGGTATAATAGAATCAGTGAGAGGTACTGTCATGATGAACACCTCTTAGAAGGACTCTAATTCGCCTTGGTCAACTTGATAGCAACTGTCAAGCGCGATAGTCAGCACAAGATGCAATTTTTCAGTACTACTATACCTTGCCTTTTCCTAGGTATAAGTTCTGTATGTAACAAAATCTAGCGGCTCAAACTACTGATCAAATTGAACTTAATAAGATTAAGATTGAGATTAAAGGGAAAGCACAGCTCGCTGACATGGCCACAAGTTTATCTACCGGAAAACGGTATGTGAGGCTTTTGTTCTAACAGGTCCCCTTTAAAACTAACAAGTCCTTAACGCTGAAAGGCGAAATACTACCTTCGTCCATCTTCTTCCTCTAAATTGATTATTTCAGGCTCAATTCTCATCATATCGTTTTAATATTCATATAACAAAACAATCGCAGAAGGTCATCGGTCACGACTGAAAAACTGTGACAAAGGATACAAGCGTTCCCTGAATGGGATCGGAGACGAGATGAATCGCTGGGCTCACGCGTCTCGATATGGCGCAGACTACAGACACCTGATAGACTTGGTGTAAAGCAGTCAGAGTCACATGTGCGATGGTCTGGGCACATCTTGCGAATGGATCCAGAACGGAAGGCCAAACAACAATCGCGACAACGTAGAACTAACGTCTCTCTACTTAAATCAATCACATCCACGTGTCCAGGTTTTATGTAGTTTTATCCGATACGCTGCTACCTGTAGAAAATCTGAAAACCAGTAAATGTGTCATTTTTACAAATGCATGAAAGGTCCGCAGGGCCGTAAGTTCTTTCAAAGCTTGACGAGGTTAAACCTGAAACTGTACAGTACAAAATAACTTACGGTGGCTTTATCTAAAGATCTGCTCTTGGTTCGAACACTCGAAGTGACAAAAATCTGAAAATCTGAACAGCCTTCTCCTCATCACGACTTCAAAGACCGTTTCTAGTCTCAGGTAGTGGAAGCAAACGCATCAGACAAGGCTACAACGTTCTTTATTATGTACCAGAGTCTGAGTCTCGGCAGAAAACAACTGCAGTCCAGAGCAGAATCTTTTCCTATATTTGCACCAGGCCAATCTCTGTTGTCCCCTCGGTCATATGCCGGCCGGACAGGCAAGTAGTAGTTGCTTCACCTTCACCTTTCTGGAAACATTCGCAACACTTGCCCAAAATCACAGCTGTAACTACTCAATCTAAAGAACGGCGGCTGTACACCAAGGCCATCGCAGATTTCTGCACCACGGAGCATGCAGAGATGCGTAATGCCAGCGACTCATCTCACAAAGAGCGTTTCAGCCACTTGAACCCAGAAGCAAAGAGTTTCCAGCCACGAGTCGCCAAAGCGAATAAGCATGGGGATCAAGATCGGTTTGAAAACCGAAAGCTCAGTCTTCAGACTCAGTACTGCTTTAGGTTCGGTGTAGTTCTTCACTCAGAACCCCAGTGGTCATTCCAATCCGTCGAGTGATCTCTTCCTCTCATTTTCCATCACCAGTTAACACGGCCCCGAGGTACTTCAACTTCTCCACTGCTTCTCTATTTATCAGAAAAGAGCAATGGGCAAGAGAACGAGAAAGCGCAAAAGCTTTACGTTTTAGACACATCGCGTTCCGCTGCGAACAGAGCGCGGAAAATCAGTTTCAGAAGGCGGCAACAAACCAAGATCATCTGCAAATAGCTATCTTCTCTTCTCGACATCTCTTGCAATACTATTCCCACTGCCTTAGCTGTGCCTGACTATTCTATCCATGTAAAACACAAGCAGCAGAGGGAACAAAACATAGCATTGGCAGATACCAGTGTAATAGCTGAAAAGTCTCAACTTAACGGCATTTATTCTAACGCAGAACCTGCTATCAACATATAATGACTGGATGGTCCGTAGCAAATGGCCACAGATTTTTTGCGCTGGAATCGATCATAGGCTTTCTTTAGGTCGAAAAAGCACGCGTTCAACCGGGCTAATATCTGGTCAGATGAGACTCAGGTCGGCCGGAAGCCACACTGCTCTATTTCTATCCTGGAGTCAATTACTCCACGGCACCTCCATTCTAGTACCTTTGTGTACACTTTACCCGGGTAACTCAATAATGTAATGATCCGATAATTGGAGCACTCACTGCAGTTTCTCTTCTTTAACAAGGGTAAAACAACCTCTGTTCTACAGGCCGCTGGTGTCTTTCCCGTAGCCATTTCAGCTTGTTGACAGATATATGTTAGCCAACACATGCCTTAATAGACCATCGCTTTGAACATTTCAGGGCGGATTTCATCAATTCCAGCAGCCTTTCCACATTTCAAACTTTTCACAGATTCTGTGATATCATCTACACAAAAGAGTAATATCCCTTCTCGGATGTTCTACAGGTGAGTCTTCCTGCGGTTGGCCGGGTTTAACGAGTTCATCAAAATACTCCATCCATCGCCGAAGAATGTTCTCATTCTTGGTAAGGCGGTGTCCACATGTCCTTCAAGGCTCTTAGACTTTCCGTCTTTGCAAGTTAGAGTCGGCGGATGATTTGCCAGAATGCCTTAATTTCTGCCTGGAAATTCGAATTCAGCACTTCACCGCACTTTTCCGGGTAATATAGGCTTTAAATCACATGCCAGTTGACGGCTCTATGCTTCAAAGTCACTTCTTGAATGCAGCATACTTCTCCTTAACACCCAGCTGCACCTCTCGTGTACACCAGGAAGTTCCTTTCTGACCTCCAGACAGCAGGCCAACCGGTTACAATCCGCAACATTTGGCGGCAGTGCCGAGTACGCCGCTCTTAAAGAGTTCCCACTCGGTTTCCACATTAGCTGTCGTCACCGGGATCTGTTCT